CCGGACACATTTCCAAGAAATGCAGAAACGTAGTAAAATGTGTCATCTGTAGTGGAAAACACTGGAATTTTGGACACAGTCTGAAAAAGAGTCAATCGAGGAGGTCAATGGTGAACTGAGAAAAGGCAGTCGTCACACACTTCATCATAGAAAAGCAAAGAAAAAACGGAGGATCGAGGTAGGAGAAATAGAACTTATAGGAAACGATCAAAGGAAAAGGATTTAATGGCCATTAGGAAAAGTGGAGGAGGTGCTACCTAAAGCCGATGGACAAGTTCGAGTCGCAAGAGTGAAGACATCATCGGGAGTTTTTCTTCGTCCAGTACAGCGACTTTTTCCATTAGAGATAAAACAAATTTAGATTAGCCTCTACTATATAGCCAAGAAATTATAATATTAGAATTTAATTTATATCAATTAAATTGGTGGGAGGAATGTTGGGTAGTTATGTAAATGTAATTTGCATTTTTCTATTGTTTTATATTTTGCCTTTATAAAAGGCGATGTTGTCGCAGCAGGAGAAGCAGTAGGTAGTAGTCGTAGTAGTCGTAGCAGCCGTAGTAGTCGTAGTGAGGCTGGTAGAGTAGAGCGCACGGCTTGCTTGATGAGATGGACGTACTTCTTCGCTAGACCTTATGTATTCTACGGGAAAAGAAAACCAGTTGTTTTATTCGATTTTAGTTTGCTTTTGTATACAGCGTTGATCCTCTTTAAATATATATATTGTCACCTTTGCTTGAGACCACTTAATCCAAACGAACCAACATCATAGTGCACCAATCAAAAAGTGTACACAACAGATATAAATCGAGAGAACTAGAGAAATTTCCAACAGAAGTTTTTATTAGAAATTGTATGGTGTGTGCCAGAGTGATTCTACTATAGAATGTCCACAATCCCAAGTGTTACCTCTAGGTAGTCAGGTCAACAATGGAGGCACCATCATTACAATGGGTAACCTGTGCGCCAAGAAGAGATCCCAGCGGTCAAGCGAACAAGGAAGCCAGCAGAGCGGGAATAACATCAGCTGCTCAGGGGAGCAACGACACCCCCCCATATATCACCATCGCCAACATTAACCAAGTCCAGTTCTTCAATGACACCGAGGCACCCAAGGCATTAACATCCAGGCCTTGGGTGCGGATGGAGGATGGCAGCTATTACCTTGGGGTTGGACTTCCTCATCCCAGACCTTTCACCCCGAGGTGTGCGGAATGTCGACGGCGGGCATGTCAGCCAACCTACAACATCGGGGCCCTCCTCATGGCGGCGTCGGCCAAGTTGGAAGAACATCTCCGACAAGAATATCGGAAGGAGACGGCGGAGCAGGAGAAGGCCGTGATGGTGTACTGGCGGGAGAAGACCTCGGTAATAGAAATGAGCCAACTTGACGCCGAGGAGTAGTGGGTGGCAGCAGCGAGGTAAGAACTCTACCTTTTAACCGTAATTAATCGTGAATTTGAAATAGAAGTTTAGAAATTTTCTTTAATAACGATAAATAGGTATTTTGAGAGGTGTGAATGTGATTAAGCTTAAATTTGTAAAATATTTTTGTTAAAATGTTGTTGTAGAGACTTATACAATAGTGTGTTGTAAAAAGAAAGAATGAGAAAAGTGTATATATAGATTTTGAAAAATAATGATTTTTTTTTTCAGATATATTAATTTCATGAAATTATGTGAATATTTCTTATTTATTTCATAGTGAATATGACAATTTAAGTAACTCTAATGTTTGAATGATGAGCATCACCATCTTCTTTTCTCAATCATTCGGTGATATTTCCCAAGACAAATCTAAAACTTAGAAACGAAAAGTTATAATTATATTAATGGTTACTATAGCATTATATGTCAACTGACTTATAGACTTAAAATGATTGCATATAATGGTAATTAAAATATTTTTATATAGAGAAAATAGCATATTGTTCTTACTGATTATTTGAACGATTGCTCTAATATAATGATGATGTAATATCAAAAATATTTTTCAGTTTGTGAAATAATATAAAATATTATCTCGAAATAACAATATGTAAAGAAAATATAATTTATTTCCAAGTCAGGATCTGTGAGAGACTCGACTAGCATAATGGATTCTGCCATTTGCGATTATTAATATATTTATTTATATAAGAAAAAATATCTTGGAATAAACCCCAAAAACTAAAAATAATGTGTAAAACATTTACTGAAGAAGAAGAAAAAAAAAGTTGGCGCTAAAATCTAATTAAGTTTTATGATATTACTTCCAATCCCTATCTTACATCAATGCTGACTAGTTCCTCAAAAAAAAAAAAAGCTCCAAACTGTTCTAAAATATTGTCTAAGAATACATTGAGAACTTTATCGTTATTTACGTGATTGAAACAATTTCACATTCAATTATATATGTGGCATACTAAGAAAATAACACTAGAACACAAAATGAAAAAAAATTCCCTTCCTTAAATAAACAAAACATTTTTTGGGTTAACTTTTTGTGCTGATTAATGTGGTATCAATATTTGATTAGCTCAATTTCTCAAGTTATGGATATAATGCCTTTTACCCATGATATTCATCTATTGGAGGAAATGTTAAGCATTAAACTTATTACTATATATATGCATGTGTATATATTTTACTTCAATAATTGCCCTCATATATATATATATATCTTAAATAAAGAAAAAAATATATTCTGCTTGTGTATTTTCGATCATCTTGAGGATTATGGTATGGAATTATTTGCTGGTTCTTTTTGGTACTAAATGATATTGGTGATGCAGTCGTGGTTAAATTCTTGATAGAATAATAATAAAAATGGTTTTGATCAGTAATTGCTTTTATTGTGCCTAAGGAATATATAAAAACATAATTTGGTAAAAAGTAATGCCTGGCTTAAGGCGAGTGAACAAAGAAAACAAAAGATTATTTACATAATGTACAAAGTTTTGAGCCGACCAACGGGGAAGAGAAAATATATTTATTTTACGGGGCTGCTAACCAAAATGAATGATTTTTGAGCCCCGATGGACGCATAAAGCGGAATATATACAAAGCATAGTTGGAGGGGCCTGGGGATGGGTGGCCAGGGATCATCGCCAGGTGAGGCCAGGAGAGCCGGGATGTAGAGGAGGACCGGGGGAGAGCAGGGTGGTGATCCGCGGAGTTCAGGGGGTGGCAGAGACGGGTTCAATGGTGTTGAAGCAGGCGTAGCAGGTTTGTAGCAGGCAGACAAGCCGCAATGCACGATGTAAAGTATCAAGGTGCTGCACGCAACCAAGGCTGTTCAAAAAGGTTAGATTCCCCAGGCCAGGGAAAATAAAGACCAACGGGGAAGAACAACAACGAGTTTTTATAGGGGAAGTGTGACCTCTGGCGGTCGATTTAGCAGAGTATTTGCATCTATGAAATATATAATTTTTCAAATAAAATAATATTTTGATATAACATTTCCCCCCTGTGAAGAGAATAATATGGGTTAATTAAGAGTAAAGTGATAAAAATATAGCCTAAAAAAAGATCAAATTATTAGATAGAAAGGTGAGAGGTGATATTCACTCATCATATTGGTTTTAAATATGGTAACCAATAGACAGGAAAATACAAAATGATGACATATAAATGATAAAAAATATTGGTAAAGAGTGAAATGTGGCAATTGGTTCAGTAGTTTTTGAGTTTATCGCGAAACAGACAGACAGACAGGAATTGACTTTTATATATAGAGAGACTTTTATATATATTTCAGGCTGATAAAAACCAAAGGGTATATGGATTATAGACAAACACATGTTTTGGCTGTTAAATGAGACAGTAATTCATAGTAAATTTTCACTACTGTATTTTCTGCATATTGACTATTGTTTGTTTAATTTTAAGAATTATCATATTGACTGTAAAAAAAAAAAAACACAAAGGCCAGAACAAAAATGAATAAAAAATAAGAAAGCCATTGTTTACATACAGTAACGCTAATTTTGTAAAGTTTTTTTTTTTTTAATTGTGTGAAACTTACCTTAACTTAGTATAAAAAGATATTTAAAAAAAGTAAGTGTGAACGTACCTTAACTTATATAAATTTTAGACAAACACACGTTTTGGCTGTTAAATGAGACAGTAATGCATATTAAATTTTCACTACTGTATTTTTCGCATATTGACTATTGTTTGTTTCATTTTAAGAATTATCATATTGACTGTAAAAAAAAAACACAAAGCCCAGAACGAAAAGGAATAAAAAATAAGAAAGCCATTGTTTACATACAGTAACGCTAATTTTGTAAAGTTTTTTTTTTAGACAAACACACGTTTTGGCTGTTAAATGAGACAGTAATGCATATTAAATTTTCACTACTGTATTTTTCGCATATTGACTATTGTTTGTTTAATTTTAAGAATTATCATATTGACTGTAAAAAAAAAAAACACAAAGGCCAGAACAAAAATGAATAAAAAATAAGAAAGCCATTGTTTACATACAGTAACGCTAATTTTGTAATTTTTTTTTTTTTAATTGTGTGAAACTTACCTTAACTTAGTAATATAAATTTCTCTCTCAATACTTTTGAAAAAAAAAGTGACACTCGTATAAAAAGATATTTTAAAAAAAGTAAGCAAGCAACTTGAAGAGAAATGCAGAACGCTCATTGGTCGCTTAATTGGCCTCGTGTTGTTACTTTCCGTCGTATTTACTCCGTGTAAGCCTCGTATTTACTCCGCGTAAAAAAAGTTCTTCAAATGAAAAAAAGAAATAGCCATAGCCTATATATAGCCTCTATATATATAAAAGTCAATTCCTGTCTGTCTGTCTGTTTCGCGATAAACTCAAAAACTACTGAACCAATTGGTTCCAAATTTTGCATGTCGCTTTTTATAAACCTGAGGAAAATTTTTGGCTACATTTTGCTTATTATTTTTGGCTATTTCTTTTTTTAATTTGAAGAACTATTTTTTTTACGCGGACTAATCCGGAATGGAATGAATACCTAAATATGGCCATTTTTTTTAAAGCATCGGTGGCTTAGTGGTAGAATGCTCGCCTGCCACGCGAGGCCCGGGTTCGATTCCCGGCCGATGCATTTTTTTTTTACAATTTTTAAAACTAATTTATAAAAAAATATAATATAAATATATACTATTATATCAACTATATGAATTAAATCAAATACCTAAACACTAATCTCTATATATATAAAAGTCAATTTCTGTCTGTCTGTCTGTCTGTTTCGCGATAAACTCAAAAACTACTGAACCAATTGGTACCAAATTTTGCATGTCGCTTTTTATAAACCTGAGGAAATTTTTTGGATACAATTTGCTTAGTATTTTTGGCTATTTCTTTTTTTCATTTGAAGAACTTTTTTTTTTACGCGGAGTAATCCGGAATGGAATGAATACCCAAATATGGCCATTTTGTATACGCATCGGTGGCTCAGTGGTAGAATGCTCGCCTGCCACGCGGGCGGCCCGGGTTCGATTCCCGGCCGATGCAATTTTTTTAAACAATTTTTAAAACTCATTTATATTATATCTTCTATATATATAAAAATGAATGTTTGTATGTTTGTTTGTTTGTTTGTTGGTTTGTATGTCCGGTATACAAATTCGCAGTAGTTCACTAATTCAAACCAAAATTTCCATACATAGGTAAAAAAAATACGAGGAAAACGATAGGCTATTTTAAATTATATATAAATTAAATATTAAAACTATATATTCAAATTATTCTACTTAGCTCACGAACAGCGCCCTCTATCAAGGTTATAAATACGTTTAAAATCGAAATCTTCTAAAAATTTTATTAATAATAGTTCGCTTAATAACTAGAATACTTGATCTAAATCGAAATATTTATAGACGCTCGCTCGATTTGAAGATTTATATCGTAACTAATCTGACTGTAAAGTTTGGAGCGGGACGTTTCACAAGAGTGACATCCACGGCGCCAATTTATAATTGTAACGAATAGTGTTTGAATAAAACATTTAATCGGCTAAACCCGGGCGTTGCCATTTACATATTGGCTAGGTCGCTTTCAGATATTAACACAGGAAATAATAATAAAATGAAAATTTTTAAAATAATGCAAAATATTAAAAATAAAAACATATTGTGAAATGAGATTAAATGAGAAAATATCAAGTTATTTAAAGTTTGGGAATTTAAAATATATTGTAATGTGAAGCAATAAGGTAGTCATTAACGAAAATATATAATAGAAAATATGATTAACAAAGATTAATTTTTATTAAAGATTGAATATGTGAGAAATACAACAACAACAACAAAAAACACCTTTATTAAGACACTATTGTCTTACAAGGGGATTCCCCTGAAGGTTATATATGTACATGAGTGAGGAGGAAAAGCAATCCAGAGGAGAGGGGGAGCAATCAGCCGTTGTCTGTGGAGTTGAGCACCTCTTCTCTCATTTTATCAATCGCCTTGAAAAATTTAAAATATTTATAAACAAATGCTTTATCCAGCAGGAGAGCATTAAATATTTTATATACATCTTGTTCATTGTAGTGAGCTAGCTCCGAAATTTCGCGAATTTCCAGTCTCTTTTCATGTAGGAATGGGCAATGGAATAGATAGTGGACCAAATTGTCTTGGATGCCAACATTGCAGAAGTAGCAATTTAAAGGGTCGCTGTTCCAAATTCCCGTGATATCCTCGCGGAAAAGTAGACATAGAATCCTTTGACGGGCTATAAATCGTTTAATTTTCAAAGGGAGGTTTGATAGTAAGTAGTCCTCCGTCATAAAGGAGCTGCTTAGAGATTGGTAGTGAATAAAATGAGTTGAGCCTTGTATCTTAGCTCGGTCAAATTGGAGTAGCTGGTCCACTGTGGTTTGAATAATTCTAGGAATTTCTCCTCGCACAACCATATAATCTTCACAGTTCTTAAGAAAAGAAAAACCCCTAGAGTCAATGATGTTATTCAAGTTATGAATAAAGTTGTTTCCCGCTTTTCCCACAATTGAAACTTTCCAGAGCTGGGACAAGCAAACATAGGGTAATCTTGTCCTGTCCATTTTTAAAATCCGTATCCAGAACTTTATAATCAATTTCGTAATGTTTAATTCAAGGGACATCCTTCCGGTTTCTGTTCGCAAGATGTAGCCCGGAGTATATTTGGGTAGGTCAAGAAATCGCCGTTGGAAAATATCCTGAATCTGGTTTACAACTACTATCTGATTTGTCGCCCACATGGGGGCCGAGTATAACAACGTGGATAAAACTATGGAGTCAAGTAATTTCATCACTGCTCCGAACGATTTGATTCTTGACTTAGATAGTATTCTCCATACTGCGTTTGTAGCAACCAATGCTTTGCTTTTAAAGTGCTGCGCCACGTAAGCAGTTGTATTCATGGTAGTTAAGGGGTAGCCAAGATATGTATATTTTGAAGATACTGTCAAGGGTTGTGTTATTTTGCTATTTAAATAATTTTCTAGAAATTTATATCAAACAAAAGATGTCTGCACTTATAAAAGAAAAAAAAGTTTATTTCTCTTCCTTAAGAATATTTACATGCAAGCCAAGCAAAACTAAAATTAAAATTAAAATTGAACGAACAAAATTTACATATCTCTTGATAGAATGAATTTACCTTTTCTTGGTCAAAAAACAATAGAAAAATAAATTAATTAAAATATTCAATTATTATCTAATATTCAATCACTCATATTTAATTATTTTTTTAAGTTCATCCACATCAACTCCCCCTTTTTTAAGATAGCAATACTCATTAAGGTACATATCTATCCGGTGGTCTCCTCTCTCGTAGTGGATATCTCCGGGAAGGTGTAGATTCAGTCGGTGGTCCAGGTGTAGATTCTGCTACTATTGTAGCAGGAGTCAGGGGACTTGACGTCTGAGGCCTTGGGTAGCTTATTCCTTCTTCTGATGACGAAACATCCTTTCTCTCCATACTTCTCCTCATATAGTTAGTGTGTACTTTCCTTTCTATTCCATCAGTTTCTATCATACAGCTGTTGCTTCCCACTATTCTCTTTACAATCCCAAACATCCATTTCGGTTTTCCTCTTTCCATCCATCTGTATCTTACTCTATCATTTATTTTGTAGCTATTGTTCTGTTTTTTATTTTTCAATCTCCCCACTCTTACTGATTTCTTGCTCAACATGGAAATCTTCGTTCTAATCTCGCGATTTAAAAATATTCCAGCAGGGGATTTTTCCGTTCTAGTCAAAGGACTCAATCTATATGCATATAAAGCCTTAATCAAAGCAAACTCAAGGGGTAATTCTCTTTCCTCCGAAATAATTCTTTTCATAGCTTTTTTTATCTCTCTTACAGACACTTCCGCTAGTCCGTTGCTCTCCGGATGGTAAGCGGGGCTAAACATCGCATGTATGCCATTTCTTTCGAAAAATGTCTTTATTTCATAACTTCTAAACGGGGGCCCATTATCCATTACCGCCACCTCCGGGATACCATATCTCGCTGAACATTCTCTCAAAAAGTCTATGCAGAATCCCGCCGATGTATTTGGAACCATTTGACATTCTATCCAATTAGAATGCGCATCCACCAATATCAAAAAAGTTTTTCCCGCAAAATAGAAATAGTCAAGATGAATTCTCTTCCAAACTTTGTTTGGTGGAGTCCACTCGGTAAATTCCTGTTTTGGCAGCTTTGATGTGTTTTCCATACAAGTGCTACAGCTTTTAGACAGTTTCTCAATTTGCTCATCCATTCCCGGCCAATAGACAGAACTTCTGGCCAGAGTTTTCATTTTATTTACTCCAATATGATTTTCATGGATGATTTTCAAAACATATTCTCTTAAGGAATCGGGGATGATCATTCTATTTCCGAAAAATAGGCAATTTCTTACTATTGTTATCTCGTTTTTAATTCTATTATAAGGTTTTATATCTACCTCTGAGTCAACATCATACTTATCGTACTTGACTAATTTATATAGTTTTCTAAGAGTTGGATCTTCTTGGGTTTTGTACGATACCAAGACGTAATCTAATATCGAATTTTCTATTAATAATATTTCTCCTATTTCCTCTTCCTTCTCCCCTTTCTCAGGATTTGGAAATCTTGAAAGAAAATCCGCAAGAGGTATTTCAGTTCCCTTAGTATATTTAATTTCAAAATTAAAATTTGATATTGAGAGTGACCATCTATGTAATCTATTTGCCACTAAGGCTGGTAAATTATTTTTATCGCCAAAAATGGCTAGTAATGGTTTGTGATCTGTATTAATAATAAATTTTCTTCCGTAAAGGAATTGTTTTAGCCTGTTTAAGGTAAAGAATATTGATAACCCTTCTTTTTCTATCTGGGAATATTTCTTTTCTGTGTCATTTAGTGTTCTTGAAACAAAAGTAATTGGTTTCTCAATGCCGTTTACAATATGGGAAATATATCCTCCAATACCATAATTTGATGCATCACAAGTAACATAAAGAGGTAAATCTTGCGAATAATGCGTCAAACAAGTTTTTGTACTAATCAAATTTTTACATTTTTCGAAAGCCTGATCATGTTCTTTTTTCCAATTCCAATTATAACTTTTTTTCAATAGAGAGAATAAAGGATTTGCATGTATGGATAAATTTTTAACGAATTTACTGTAGAATGACAACATGCCCAAGAAAGATTTCAATTCTGAAATGTTACTCGGTTTAGGACATTTTTTTATACTGTCCAATTTATCCTCAAGGGGATAGATTCCATTTTTATTTATTCTATGTCCCAAATAATTGATTTCATCAACAAAAAACAAAGATTTTTCTTTATTAATTGAAAAATTAAAATCAGATAATTTATTCATGACTGTCTCAATATCTGAAATATGCTCATTTACATCAGACGATGCTATAAGAATATCGTCTAAATATATTATTACATTTTTAAGACCGGAAAAAATATTGTCCATAGTTCTTTGGAAAATAGTCGCTCCGGACTTGATACCGAAGGGCAGCCTTTTATATTTAAAAAGGCCTTTATGGGTAGAAATAACTGTCAATTTTTGAGATTCCTCGTCTAGAAGTATCTGATGATATGCGCTTGAAAGATCAATTTTGCTAAAGAT